TTTATACTACTTCTGTGATTTTACTACTACTTCTACTTCCTGTTATCTTCTTCATCATCGTCTTTTTCACCAGTAGAAACAGACGGTTGTTGATCACGTGACTCCTGTGATGTGAAAAAAATGTTTCCATTGCAGTTTTGCGAAAAACACCAATTTCGAAATGGCTGAAAAACCACCTCATCCTAGYGCAAAAACATTTTGTCGAAAAACATAATTTTTTTTCAAAATTGACGTGTTTCCATTGAGCAAATTAATTTTCGTAATTCTAATTTGCGCATTTTCATGGTCAATGGAAACAACAATAAGGGCCAATTTCAGCAGTTTGGATGGAGCGGAGGCCTTTAGAAGTGACCCAGCATCATTCCCAGTGCGTCTGGAAAAATATTCATACAACTTCTCCAGATCCATCCAGCTTCCTGTTGTAAACTTTCCCAGGGAGACCAAGAAGTGTGAGCTATAGAAATGGAATCTTTATTTATTATAAATGTGGACATTTGGTGATTTTTATTTATTTATTTATTATATTTTGGGTCAGTGTTCTTAAAATTTTGTTTCTCCATAAAGKCAATTCTAAAATGAAATGTAAAGCATAAAATAAAAACCACTCAGCTGAGTTGCATCTATTTTACACAGTTTATCTACATCCCAGATTATAAGTACAAGGTACGTGGTAACATTTCAGTTCCAATTATCTGCTGCTTCATTCTTTTTCAGGGGTCCATTACTCTTTTGTACTTCTGCCAAGTAGCTTATTTTTTTCTCAACATATATAGATATTTTTTAGGTACGAAAAAACTACGGAGTCCGTCCGGTGACATGGAGTAAAAAAATTATGTGGCCACAAGATAATAACGCATGTGCACGCGATAATTAACACGTGCCMATGCTATAATTAATGTGGCCAGCAACAGACATTATTAGAGTTAGATTATAGCGATTTAGCATGCATTGTTTTGTTTTTAACTGTTTAAATATACACACATTATTATTATTATTATTTGGTGAATGCCAATATCAATGGATCATCTATAATAGTAGGCTATTGAAGAAATGACAATGAACGCCCTGGTTGTGTGTTGGGAAACAGATTTTTTTACTGCGTTTTACTTTACTGCKTTACTCCTTCTGCAGCTGACGCGCAGAGAGACAGGCGCCCGTTTTGAAAGTTCAGCTTCAAAAAAAGGAAATAAAGTTTTCTCGACAAATAGACAACTCCAGTTGTCACCAAATTGCTACTTCATGCCGAACAGAAGGTGCTGACGTAGCAACGTCATTCATTCTATTAAAATCAAAATAAATTAGTTTAATTCAGACTTGTCCATGTAAACAACAAACAGTCTGCACAAAAATGTCAACAATAATTAGCTATGTGGTGGCCATGACACAATTATTGTATGCGCATGTGTTAATTATCTCGTGGGCACGCAATATTTTTTTTATTCCATGTCACTGGACGGGCTCCATAAGAATCCATCTGCCTGAGATAAGTTCGTCTACTAGAGCTTTTTTTAATAAACAAGTTTGAACCCCTACCTTTCAGCTGTGGGTAATATTTGTAATTGATGGGGTTTGTTTGTATTTGTATTTGAACGTTTTCCTTTGCCARTCTGTTAGCAAAATATCTCATAAACAAGTGGAGTTGTTTAAAGGAATGCTATTTTAAAGGGGCAATATGATGTAAAATCAACTTTTTGAGTTTTATATTATGTTATAATGTCCTCTCATCAAAAACATGCTCAAAGTCTTGCTTTGACTCATTCATGCACATTTGAGAAATCCTRTAGTGTCCTGCTGCAGCCAGGGAGGGGAGCAAAAATGACCGGTTCGGCCTAGAACCGCCTTTTGGGATCAGCTCCTCCTCTGGGCTGTGCCTCCAAGTCGAGCTTCCTTATCACAGAGCACACACACCCACCCAGCCCGTGCTGAAATGGGCAGGACAGAAGTGGAAGGAGGTTCTTAAAGAGACAGTGGCCAATTTCAAGGTGTTTAGAAACAGATATGAGAAGTAAAGTTGAATTTCTATTTAAACAGCCTTTTATTAAAAACTGAAGGTGACATTGTTGCTTTATTATGGTGTAGAATTGAAATACAGTGGGGTGTGAAAGTTTGGGCAGCCTTGTTAATTTTCCTGATTTACCTTAATAAATCATTGATTG